TTGGCCCATATCTGATTTATTTCCACATATGAATGAGGCCTGAAACCGATCTCGAAATATCCGAATGCATGCGTTTTTTTCCCATTTACACTGTCACAGAACAGATCCGATCTGTGTCACATATGAGCAAAAAATCGGAATTAGGTCGCATTTAACAGACAGTGTAAACGGGGCCTGATTTAATACTTTAAAAATCAGATGGAAACAAGGCATGTCATACTATAGCGCACAAAGGGGTGAATGAGAAGCCAGGTTTCCAGATTTTATTTGAGTATTCAATTGTACCATTATAACATTATACTATTTTATTTAAGACATTAGTATTTAAAACATTGAAGCAGATTACTTACATTACTCAAACAGGTTAAACTGCAACTTAAAAATATACTTAAAATGCAAGTATCTGAAACACTGCTTAATGCCAGTAATGTGAGTAGTTCTAATTCGTTACATCCACTCCCTATACACAGAAAGAAGTATTTGGGTCATTTTTTCAGCTTATACAATTCAATTATAAGAAATAAGTTTCCATCAAACTAAATCGTATAAACACAAATAATATTAATAATTTAATATGCATATTATGATTTACAAAATGTATTCAAGCACTGAAGTTGTTCAATTGTTCAAGCACTGAAGTTAACAAGTTGATTCAAATAAATCTTAATAAACCTGGACTAAACAAGCTGTCTCCATAAATCATAAATTAATTAAATGTATAAGCTTTAATTATGAAGACAGCTTGTTTAAGTACGTGTCTAGGTTAATATGAATCGAAAGCCAAATGAAGTTCTGAAGGTAAGCCTCGCTAAATAGGTCCTCCTACAAACGCAATCGCTGCGCAGCACTTAAGGTGGACCGGAAAATCCAAATAAGGAGCTGCGAATGAGGAGTCAACTTCAGCCTCGTGAGGTCCAGTGAAGCTTCGCTTCATGTTTTGATGCACTGTGCTGCACGGAAATGTATGAGAAGAAAATCGCGTCAAACAATCTACAATAAATAGCTGATTCTGAACGAGCTCGTCATGAAGTTGAACGCGTTCTAGCGCATTTTTATTACAACCAATATAAATACGACAGTGCATATATGAGTACAGTCTTTATTTTCTGACATATTAGAGGAAGCGGAGCTTCCCTTGTAGTCTTAGAGCAGTCGCCACTGAATGTAACACTGGTCATAGGTTTGGCCTTTACAAAATTAAAGTCATGTTATTATAGGCGCACATTATTGTGCTTGAATTCTTGCACACGTTGTTTTCTAATAGCACACACAGAGTAAATTCCTGGCTACGCCACTGGAGGGCGCCCTGAATGGGATGCCAGTCAAACACAAGCAACACGCTCGCTCTCTCTGACGATCGCAGTGCGTGTCTGCAGTCTCTGCACTGTCTGACAGGCCCCCATTCGCCATTGTGAGTGTATCGCGGATGTAAACAATACTAAGAACGGAGAAGAAAAACAAGAATAAGAAGATACCGTACAGAGAAAAACTTACGAAGGATGCCTGGGATCGGTATTTGACTAAATTGTCAATAGTCAATAATATAGATCCGTACGACCTCACAGCAAAATAATGGAATTCCGACGCGACATTTTTGCCTCCAATTGATCATCTCTGGATAACAAAAACTTTTAAAAGTGAATTTAAGTGAAAGTGTTAGCTAAAATCTGTCAAGCTTCTCATTTGGTTAACAAAGTTGATATTTCATATTTACTGTTTTTTTTTCTCCACAAAAATGTAATGTTTTATGTAATCAGTAATAAGCATTACCAAAACACACTAGTCATTTAGGTGTTTAAGAAAGGAAAAATGTCATTGGACGTAACTTTATTGGTCATATTTAAAATAAAATATAAGTGGCAAGCAGAATACAGGCTCATTATACAATGTGTTTATACAGATTCTTCCAGACATCACGTAAAACGTTAGAAACTGTATAGGCTACTTGCAAATGTTTCCAAACTTAAACTATAGTTGGGCATTGGTTTGTCAGGGCACAGCACACAGTTGCAGCCTTATCCAGCATTGTGACTTATAATTCATGCTGTTTACTTTTGTCTTAGTTTAAAAGATACTCTGTACGTAACATTAGTTTAACCAGAACAGATAAACACATTTCTGCTACCCCAGTAGTGAGGCTATAGCTTGCTATCTTAGATTAACCAATGTGAAAATACCAACTTTAGAAGACAAAAAAATGCATATTCAGTAATATTACTTAAACAAAAAACATCTTACTTGCTTTAATGAAAATGCCGAGAGCAAACACGCATTAAGGGAGATATCGTGTTGACAGTGATCTCCTTCCGTCTCATATGGCAAGCCGTTTTAACATCTAATCACGTACGTCACACTCCTATCCATAAGTAGGCTACATTTTAGATAGCTTTTCTCCTAGTCAAAATTGCATTCTTACTAGTCAAAAAGAGCATTTCAGATATACACAATGGCATTCTTCCTATCCACAATTGTAATTTCAGTTATCTACATCGTCATTCTAACTAGATGAAATTACGTCACTTTTGCCATTCATGTCTATTGGACTTTTAATTTCAGATAGGCCTATCCACAATTATATGTGCAGGTGGTATCCTTTCGGATATCCGAAATTAAAATTCTGACTAGTAACAATTGGATTGTAGAGGCGGGATTTGCGACCCCACCCTCGGTTGTGGGAGACTACAGTATGCATTTTTTTCATTTATTCTAACAAGCTGTTGGAAGCATTTAAGTGGTTTTACAGCTAAAGGAATCAGTGAATCTTTAACCGCCGAGGGAGGGAACAGAAAATTGCTTTTATTGGAAAAAAATATGCTTTTTTAAATCTCTAGAATAGGAAAACGCCTATGGAAAACATTACTGTGAACCACGAAATATCTGTTGTCATCATTGAACAGCTGGAGTCACTTTATTTCTTCAAACGGTGCCTTTTTTGTTGTAGGGTTAAGAGCAACTAACTTCACCACAGGTAATATGCCTGGGCAGAGGTGTAAAATCTCTTATTACCCTGCATGCAACCAATGCTGGTTAACCCTTTAGGGTACATAAGTGGCCACCTAGGGCACCATCTTCTGAGGGGACACCGACTTCACAATTAAACTGGGCGGTGAAGCTTGTCTAGAGCTCCACATAGCCTCTGACCAGCACTGCTGTAACCCAGAGGGTGAGTCCCCCCCCCAAGCAAGCTTAACCGCCAGCACTCCCCACCCCAATGCAAGGGGGTCAGGCTCCACATTGGTTTTGACCAGCACTGTCACGCAGTCAAGTTATCCTGTTGTTCCATTTTCCCTAAATTTAGGCAATGAATCAGAGACTGTCTGGATGATTTTTTAGCCAAAGATTCAGAGGGGATAACATGCTTCGATTTCCTTGCACAGCACAAAGACATGGAATTAGGTGTATTGACATTCCTACATTGTCCATGATAGATGAGTTTGTGTGTAAGTGTGCGTGTGTGTGTGTGGACGCTGATGGACTGGCACACTGTTCTGGGTGCCTTCCCGAGATCCCGAGTCATCCCCTGTGCTCCAGAAAATGTATTCTTAAAATGCAATATACTGTAATTTATTTTGATTCATTGCATGGTTGCTGTATTTTGTAGTTTACTTTGATACCCTTCCAATTAGAATATGTTGTATTTTGTATCAAAATACATTTTGATGTATTTTTGTCCATCTCTGCATGTAGTCAATCATTGTCTGACAATGAGGGAGGCAGGGCTGAGAGTCCAGCCAATGTTGAACCGCTTCAACTGCGGCTTCAATTGTTCTAATATTCAGAAATGAGAGGTTAAGGGCGTGCTGTAAGTTTTTGGATTCCCTGTTAATTACATCAAACCTTCAAACCGTCATGAAAATGTGTTGAAAACGTTACTTCATGTCAGAAACACGCCCCTTTTCCAAAAGACATAATTTCGGAGAGAATTTTGTTGTACAAGATTCCCGTGTCGTCGTTTCAACATGGTGGCTTACACAGTCAACTGCAATTCTATTTTATAAATATTTAAAAATGTTTATTTTGTTAAATGTATTAATAGTTATAAATGTAATTGCACACGGTTGATTTAGAGAATACCATATCATGACCGTAAACAGTAGGCTATGCTGGTATGCAATATCAGATTTTTACCAAACTTGTTAGTGTCTTGTTTGTTTGTGATTTGTTTGGCTTTCGAAAAAAGAATATCGCTATGAATATAATAATTTATAATAAATATTATAAAGCTTTTAATGTGGCTTGACTAGTTAATGTTTCTTGTTTGTTGTCTCTCGGGAAAAAAGAATCTCATTCCAAATCTGCTAAAATATTATAAAGCAACAACACACAATGACAGCGTATTCCAGGAGGTTGGTTGTGACGTCACACACCTCAGAATTTTTACGTTTTACATCATGTTCCATTGCCGAAGACCAGTCGAATACACAAGCTCCCACACTTATGGTTCTGTGAATCTTGTTACTAACTGCATTTTGCTATTAGGGAAATTTTTCACGCACAAATGTAGAATTTTAAGAACTCTCAATTTTTTCCTGTTTTCTATTAAGAACTGCTCTCCTTTTTTGGAGCATTTATGTACAACGGAGAAAAAAACTGCAACAATTGGCTCTTACAGCAGGCTGAGGACTTTAATTTGATAGAAGACCTGTAATGTTTTTGTTTGATCTTTTTTGTTTTGTGTTCTCATTGTGTTTGGATATTGTTCATGCTATGGATGTTATCTGAATGGTTTTGTGCCTTTGTGTTTGTATAATTGCATTCTGACCATAACGAAACCCCAAGAACAATCGCATCATTCAGATGATGAGCCGTCGTGGGCGACCGTCTGTACATTACCACCATGACACATGATTCCGTCATTTCCGGCGCACCCACCGACGTCGCTAAGATCTAGTTGTGTTTTTCCGGGTAAACACGATTAACTGTTAAAAAAAAACCTACAGAGGAGTAAGAGGAAAAAGCGGTGAACCAAATTAAACTGAACAGTTGCAGACATCGGAGCCCGAAGAAAGATTCCGGACAGAGTGATAATATTTTGGGTGAGGACGGAGACTGAACAGTGGCGATGTTTCAGTTAAGCTAATTCGGTTCGCTCGGTTTAACGCGGCACCTGCTGTCATGTATCTGCCCCACCTAGTCAGCTGAATTAACCAGCTAGCGAGTTAACTAAATGGTGGTATGTCGAGGGTTTGAGACTTTCGGTTTATATGTTTAAGTATAAGGGCATGTCGCTGGCATTATCTTGTCGGCTAACTACCGTCGGGGGGAGGCGGTGTTGATCGCCCAGTGTGTAACTTCAGGTCCGACGCTTCATTTTATGACAAGATCTGTTTGAAAGGGAGGAGACCCACATCTTTCGTGTTAATCGCCTTTTTCGATCAGCATCGCTTCAGCTATGACCGGGGGAGTTACTGGTGGTCCCGCCCTGGCGGCGAAGAGCTGGCCCCGCTGGCTCCTCTTCTGCCTGCAGCTGAGCCTCGGCATTCCCGCTTTGGTACACGGTAAGGCCGACACGCGTCTGCAGAGGTACCCCGGTGGCAACTCAGCTGCCTACTGTATCACTCCCTTCGTGGGTAAAATAGCTTTGCAGGTATAGTAAAGCACGGTCCCTTATGGACATTTTGATGAATCCTAGCAGTTAATTATTCTCATTCGCTGTTGTGTTGACACGGAAATAACCAGTCTGCTACTGAATGAGGTGAATTCTCTCTTTTTATTTCCCAAATAAAATGACATGAATCTAGGTGTTGCTTCTATATGTGTGTTGATGTTTTAGCTTCCCCAGACACTGCATTTCAGTCCTTCAGAATAGTAGTAAACCTGTGTAATTGTTTAGTGCTTGGTAATCAAAGGTGTAATTAATAATACAGAGGCTTAGTTGTCCTGATTTTAAATGTCATTTTTAGAACCTACTGTACTTGCAATGTTAGTTAAGTTTAATGTGAATGATGACTGTTGATTTTCTGACTTTTCCCACCGCTTTTGACAGCAAGTTGCCCTAGACCTGAATCCAGTGCAGATATGGTCTTGGCTGGGGAAGCCCTTCTTAAGAATGATTTCCCTGAGGGGTCAACTGCTACCTTTCAGTGCAGTGTTGGTTATGTGCGGGATAGTGGCCAGCCAGACATCACCTGCAACGAAGGAAAATGGACCGAAGTAACCCTGAAATGCAAAAGTAATTTATTTCTTCCTGTAGCTGAAGTTAACTCTGCTTTATGGACATGCCTCTTAGTGGAAATGGTGTTTTATTTCATGGTTTTATTCCAGAAAAATCCTGTGGTTCACCTGGGGAGGTGCAGAACGGGAGATTTGATTTTACTAATGGGATTGAATTTGGTGCCGTAATCAAAGCATTTTGTAATGAAGGGTGAGTATTCCGGACATACATGAGTATTAATGATAATAGGAATAATTAATATTCTTTTTGTTATTTATTAGTGCCTGTTCATGTTAATGTGCTTCTGTAGAGGTTTGATACGCTGCTGTCAACACAGTGATAAATCCTATAGTCTGCCTTTCTACAGCACACATGATGTAAATGTAAATGATGAAATGCCAGTGCACAGTGTGGGCCTTGGTTTGGTCACGTGTTGTTTCAGGATGCAGTATGAGGATACATGAGTAAACATGGTCTGAAAATGCAAGACGAAAGTGTGATGCATACATCTCTTTGAATTGTCTTGTTCATCTTTTCAAGCTACGAGATTGTAGGTCAGGATTATAGACAGTGTCTTGATAAAGGCTGGACTGGAAGAATTCCTACATGTGAAGGTAAAGGACGTTTGTTAATATTGTTTTTAAAACTCCTAGTTTTATAAATTAAGAATGAAATGCTCTCCATTGCTTTTATGTAAAGATGAACACAATTAAGTATTTTAAAAAATGTGTGCCAAAATTGTAAGATTACTAAAATGTCTGTCTTCATTCAATTAGTGGTACAGTGTGAAGAGCCTCCTGAAATCCCGAATGGAAAGATTGTATCAAAACCCCACAGTGAATTCCCACAGTATCGGGATATCATTCAATACGAATGCAATGCTGGCTACACGCTTTTTGGGAAAATGAATATAATGTGTAATGCAACTGGGGAATATGAACCACAAGCTCCGGCATGCAGCAAAGGTGTGATATTATATAGCTCCCTACTGTTTGTGTTCTGCAGTGTGTAAACTATTTACATGGCTGATGTTATTTTTCATTGAATTCTTTTTAATCTGAAATGTGTTTTGCTGCAGTGTTTGTAAAAATATTTCTAACCCACCAAATGTTTTTAAACTCCCTCTCTCTCAGGTATCATTTGTGAAACTCCTAAGGTTCCCAATGGCCACCGGATTGCTGGAGCCCCGCCACCTTATAAATTAGACTATTTTGTCACATTTGCGTGCAACAATGGCTATGAAATGGACGGCAGGCCAGAAATGACATGTACAGTAGAAGGCTGGTCACACGGGCCAACCTGTAATCCAGGTAGGTGTTTATTTCCCTCTTTGCCAATGATCCAAGAATCGGAGCACGACTAGAGATGAGGGGGCATGGGGCCTGAGAACTCAGGGTGGGGGTGGACTAGGGGTGTCACTTTATTCAAAAATCAGGTTCAGTTGCAATTCATTTGAATATATTCAGATACCTGTGGGGGGAAAAAATGCAACACGGAATCATTCTTTTTAGTATTTCATTACAACAACGTCACATTTGTACAGAGCCCTTAAGAGGTCAGGGTGGGAAAATATTTTTTGAAATAGTTTTACGTTACTAATAATGACTGTACTGTGTCTGTTTAAAGTGCAAAACATAGAATTAAAGGACTAATAAGTATGACCTAAATGATACAGACATGTCCAATTAAGTGACCTTTAAGCATTAAGAATGTAATGAATTTGCAAACGAGAGGAGGCCATTCAGCCCATCAAGCTTGTTTGGGGAAAACTCAAGTAATAGCTCAGAGTTTATCTAGCTGTGATTTAAAGGAACCCAAGGTTTTAGCTTGCGCTATTACCATTCACTGCAGGTACCTGTAAACAAGACTGTTAGACTATTGAATGTGAAGTGCACACACAAACATTGAAATATTAATTAAAATTTGCCCATAAAGAAATCTGGAAAACCGAGGGGTATTGCTTGTTGTCTTTTGTTGAATGTAAAGTTAACTTTACTGTGGTGACAGTTAAGGTTTAAACCCAAACCCACTTTCTGGTATACCTCCCTGGTATTCGTGCTTGCTGATGTATGTGGGGATATTAAGATCAATACTGAAATATTCCAGAAAATGGGTTCGAGTTTAAACCTTATACGCAGTAAAGTTAGCTTTATATGTAGTTTTCTGGCTGTAATATCTTTCAATACTTGTAATATATTTCAGTGTTTGTACACTTCACACTCAATAGCCCAGCTGTCTCGTTTACAGTCACTGGCGGTGAATGGGCACAGCGCAATTATTAATAAATACGTATAAAAACACATAGTATTAACGTTACATGGTGTACATTGTCCCCCATAGTTTAATGTTTTAATCACACTTTACAGGACATGTCTGTATTATTTAGGTTTATCCATGCCGTCCCATAGCAGCAAAGCAAGGTCTGGCTTATAATGGGAAGTTGTGACTGGATAACCTCTTTACACTCATGAGGGTTAGGGCTGGATGATCCTCATGAATGTGAAAGTTACTGAGTGAGGGGCGAGATTCTGTGTCTGTGGTCCTGTTTAATTCACTCCCTTGGAAGGTATTCAAATTGAACTGAAATTGCCCCAAAAATGCTTAAAAGAAGGTGTACAAATGAGGTGGAACAGTATGTAATCAAAGATTTTTTTTTGGGATACATTTTTCATCTGTATTTACTAGTTTAAAAATATTAATATTATATAGAGATAAATATGTAGTGTGTGTATTTGTGTGTGTGTGTGTGTGTGTGTGTGTGTATATAAGTAATGAGTGGAAATAGGGATGGCTGCGTCTGTGTTGTTTGGTATGCTGGTTAGGGCAGCTGCCAGCTGACACATTATGTATTTGTGTCTTAGATTCTTCTTTCTGCTTTTACAGTGACGCCTCTCTTTCCAACTGCTGGTCCGACAAAAGGTACTTTTAAAAATAAAACTTTACATTTTATTCCAACAAATAGCTAAACATTCTGTAAAGACATGTGCCTGTTTTGAGGAGCCTCTGATCATCAGGACGATACCTTTGTGGAATCTTGTATTTTTATGTTAGACTAGGATTTGCCAGCGTAATGATGATAATCAGACTAATTTAGGAAATGCTTACTGAACCCAGATCTGGGATGTGTGAGAGCTCATGGCAACTCTTCTGCTGCTCTGTTATGCTCTTTATTCTGGTTTTCTGTTCTGTACCTTGGAGTCTCACTAAGATTTTGAGGATGAGCCAAGAACCCTTTTTGTACCAGTCGGCAGAGTCACTGGCCTCTGTAAACGTGTATCTGATGCATGCAGGTCCTGAGCACCTCGCAGTCAGGCAGACTTTGTTTTTTTTGAGTGGTTATGTTTTAATGTGACTGGTGGAGATTTTCATATCTCTCCTGCATTTTTTCTTTTACTTTGCTTTGCTATTCTCTGACTACTGGCTTCTTGTGAGTGAAATCTTAGACACCCTTAATGTCTGGAGAAAATCTGATTGGTGCGAGGATGTATTAAATGCCATTCTGCTAAAATGCAAAGCATTTCAAGTGCTTTTCTTGTTTTATTCTTTTGTTCAGATCCAGATGAAGACCGGGACGCCAAAAAGCATGAAAGTAAGTTTCAGTATCTATGATACATGCAGTTTGAAGAAATTTGCCATGGCTCAGTTCCTTAGACTGCTCAGTTTTGTTTGTCTGAAATTGAGTAGTACACATAAAACATACTGTGCTTTTTGTATTGGTGATGCTTTGTTTCTTATTTCAGCTCACTGGGAAATCATTGTGACAGTTGTTGCTGGTGAGTCTTTTATGATTTCAGTATCTTTTCAACACCTCATACTTCTTATTGCTGTTTACATCTACTTAATTTTGTTTCCTCAGTATCTTTACAAATGACTGATGTGATAAACAGTTCAGTAACTAAGGGACTGTCTTTATAAATACAGTAGTACCTTGGAACTCAAACGCCTCTTAACTTGATCAGGTAGGACATCGAACGGGTCTGTTGAAATTTTTTATTTTTTTTTACTTGTACCTTGACCGAAATCTTGGAACTCGACCGTTCCTGCTAAAACTTGTATGGACCGAGATGCGTTCAACTCCACCAATACGGACCTCGGGTCAGTCGAGAAAAGTTTAACCGCAACTTGACCGAAAATTTGGAACAGAACAAAACAGACCTGCTATAACTTGTATGGATCAAGATGCATGTCTGATGGGCTGAAACAAAGGCGAACAGACCAACTGGGCTGCTGATACCCTATGAATCGCTCTCAATCTCGCAGTTCCTCTCGCTTTATCTGCAGTACATTTAGTGATACAGTGAGCAGTAATGGCAGCAAGCCAAGGAGGAAAGTAGTGAGAGTAACTGTAGAACTTAAGAAGGTAATGCCCCCATAGAATGGGGAACCACACTTTAGCTTGCACACTATAGCAAGACTTGAAGGTGGCGCACGTGTGTCTGCTCTCGCTTCAGAGTGTGGGATTATTATTTATTTCAAATTTATCGCTTTTGTCTGTCTGTCTGCTTTTTCATATGTGTATTGGTTTTATATTGATTGCCAGTGCTGTTTATCATTAGTTTTTAAATTCAGATTAAATTAATTTACATTAATTCTTATTGGGAAATTTGACTTGGACCTCAACCAAATCACAACTCGACCAGCCTTCTGTAATGAATTAAGTTTGTGTTCCAAGGTACCACTGTATGTATTTACACGTGTTTGTGTGTAATTCGTACTGCCTCCCCCCCCCCCACCCTTTAAGTTTATAATTGTGATTGTGATTTATGTGTCCTTTTCCCTCAAAGCAAAAGTCCCCGATCCTAAACCTGTGCATAATTGTTTGAAAAAAAATATTCCCAAACCCTGGAGCTCCCTTAGTCATCATCTCGTAGACACAGCTAGTTTAATTCACGGTGTTTCCTATGTATTTCAGTAGAAAGGAATTTTGTTTGCAGTTCCCTGGAAAACTGTTTACCTACAACAGCCAAGCAATAATCTTATAAAATATGATGGCTTATAAGTTAAACTTTTTAAAGGAAAGTCAGATGAAAACACCACATGCATTAATGTCTTTATTCCTAACAGTTCTTATTGCTGTTGCTGTTGGTCTTTGTTGTTGTTGGGTCTACTTCTCCCGCAAGAAAAAGGGGTAAGAGAACCTTGTTTTGACCTTTGAGTGGCTGCCTCTTTCTGGTTCTGTGTGGCTCTGTCCTCCATTGTCTGTTTCCCAGTGACCTCAATCTAATTACTCTTCAGCTGTATTGCAGAACTCCTCTGGTTTCTGTGCATATTGTCTAACCCACGGGTAGTTTTACCCGCAAAGGGCCGTAGTGTATGCAGGTTTTTGGGATAACCTTTAAATCAGCTATTCAAACCCAGATGTGAGGACTCTGCTTGAGCACTGACTGGCTGAAATCTAATCTAACTAAACCCACATACCCAACGGCCCCTGGTCTAATCTTATTGGTCAGGTTAATTTGTATGGAAGTCACATGAGGTTACATGACAGTTCTGGGGTCACAGCTTCAGGAATCAGATGTTAAATGACTGCCACCAAATGTACGGCGGTCGCTAAATCTTAGGGCTGCAGCATATTGGAAGAAAATTCACATCACAAAACTTTTCCGATAAGTATTGTGATATTAATAAAACAAGAAATATGTTGATAATTTAAAATGACCTATAGCCAAAGAGATCTTATCTTCCAGTAGAGTCTGTTTTAGATAAGTTGGAGGTGTTGCCTCGAGTTGTGTCAACAGACGCAAAGCAATGGCAACAAATCAATTGTTTTTGCCCAGTATCATCTCTGTGGAATCTAAAATATTTCCTTACAGTGAAAGGAGAATGTCTTTTGGTATCCATTTCTTATTTGCTTTTCTCCTCCTTACTCGTTTTGGTTAATTTCTCACAAACGCACCACACTGCCTATGAGTTTCAACAGCAAACACGAGAGAGATTGATTGGCTTAGAGAGAACATGCGGCGCTCACAATAGAAAAGCTATGATAAACTTTAGACTCTCTTACATATACTAGATAATCTTGAAAAAGATCAACAATTAGAATTGCAAAGTTTGCTAACTTTTGTTTCCTATGACAGTAAAAATGTCTATTAGATATTTAAACTTGTGGGTTTGTATTTCTCTGGAGGCTGGAATGTCTCCTCGATCCTGGTTTCAGACAGATTATGTATAAAGATGACTTAAGTATGCTATGGCTGATCAGCATTTTTTTGGTGATTATGTTCCATGCAAGTTACAGTAATAGATTTTGTGAGATTTAATTTTTCGGTTTCTTGATAATACATTCAGATATCAGTAGAATTAGACCTAAGTGGTTTTGCAGGCTAGTAAAAACGTGGGCTGGCTTTGTGACACAGAGTGTGAATTTTGAAGATTTAAACTTATTCTGGGTATTATTCCAAGGCTTTTCTGTCTCTCTCTCCTGCTCTATGCCCTGCTGTACCGCTGGCATTTCAGCATTTTCTTGCAGCTTTCTGTGTCTGCCTGGGGACAGGGGTGGTCTGGGAGGGGGCATTTCAATGCAGTGTTCTCCGGTGTTTGGCCATGATAAGGACAGTGATACTGTGGTTTAAAAAACTCTCCCCAGAACATGGAATCATCCACAAGCTAGTTACAAAAGCCCCTCTTCATTGTCCTAAAGTTGTAAAATTTTATGAATATTAGTTTCAAAATTGGATGTTTGTTTATTTGCCCTACCGGAGAACAAAGCGCTCTTTTTGGCATGTGAAATTTTTTCCGACCAAATGCATCTCACACCATTGGTGTAACATGCTTAAGCACAAACATTAATTGAAGGCATTAAATGTAAATACTAAATAAATTGAACTATGCTAACTCAGTCACCACTCTCACAGTTTTGGCAGGTGCTCTGCTCTACCATGCAGATTTAAATAAGCCTTGATTCATTTCCTCCTCCTTTTTTCCTGCCAGCCTCAGTGTTTTGCTGCTTTTAACATGGCTGTGTTTAGTTTTAATATAAGCGCAAAGGACGGAGCATTGACAGAACTGACTGTATTTCCCCTATCTGAACATGCTGTGCAGTGATTACTACACCAGAGAGGAAGACCTCAAGGCTGTGACAACTTATTAGGGTTTGTTCTCAGATTCTTGCTCAAGGTATCTGCAGATTTGAACTGTCTCCTTGAATATGCCTCCCTTTGATCCTCCACCCCCGCAGAGCTCTTAGTTTTGTAACGTTCCTTCTTTTTTTTCAGCAATCAAATGTTCTCTAATTTAACAAGTCTTTCAAAGCCGAATTGTGCATTTCCTTGTCTATTGGACTTTGTAGTGATTGCACCAATATGGAGTCTAATTTAGTTTCCTTTGCCTTTGTTCCAGGACAGCAGCTTATAACCGGACTGCTCCCGCTCCTTAAGGTCATCCTCACTTTAAGAGATGACCATCAAGTCTCACCCAGCTGCCACGGCGGCCCCAGCTTTCACTGTGCAGCCTCCTGTTTTCTCGCTTGACGTGTTACACAGCGGACTCACCCCGGTAGAAGCTTCCCAAGCTAATACAGCCATTTAGACATACTGGAGCTGTTTTTGATTGGTTACAAACCAGCCGGACGTCTTATTAATGACCAGATGTGGATAGTTCAGGTCCAGAAACTAAAAAATACAGACCAAGATTTTATTTCAACCAACCAGTTGAGTATAAAGAGTCACAGTCACAGAGTACTCAGCTGGTTGGTTGAAACAAAATCTTGGTCTGGATTTTTACTTTGTGGACCTGAACTATCCATCTGTTAATGATACAGTATTGTGTCGTGCCACAGGACATTAGTTAATTAGGTTTTTAAATAAAATGTTAATATCACTAAGGCACTTAGAATTTAGAATTTAATAATGATGTACATATGACATTGAGCTTTCTGATTTTGCTGGTTGTGTGCATGTCTCATTTCTGCCGGAAGGCTCAGCAAGTCTGCCTTGTGTAACACAGAAACAACGTCCTTCAGGAGTAAACCGGCCTCCCTAATGGAAGTGCGCTAAAGCAGCTTTTTCAGACGGAATGTGACGTGCCTTTCGTGCCCTGAAAGCGGGGCTCCCGTCATTCCTATCCGTACGCGCCATGATACTTGCTTGCCTAGTGGCTACGAGCAGAGAGCGATTTGCTGCCTTAAAGTTTGGTCGGGTGCTTTCTGTGTGTCCCTTGTGCTCGTTGCTCTGACAGACTTTAAATTTACATACTAAGGGTGGGGGTTGACATGTCCCCACCCTCTTTAACACAACTGCTATGTGTAATTACATCACCGTCTAATCTTTGTCCTGTCTTGCCTATACTGCGTGCTTGCGTGGGTGTGTGCGTGCGTGCGTGCTTGTGTGCATGTGTGCGTGTGGCTGGGTATATTTATCGATTTAAGGTGCATACATGGTTGTAATCTTTAACCACTACTTAATTGTTTCCACGACTTGTCCTCTGTTATTACTGTAAATATTCTGGGAAAAATGCTTCTCTGAAAACCATCACATCGCCCAAAGTTTGCTTGTAAATGTTTTGATTTTATATACAATAGGCTAATGTACCTAACAAGTTATTTATGAAAGGAATTGCTCGTACATCGCAGTGGAATAGAAAAGTGTCAGGCCTGGGATTAATGCTGTATTCCCACTGCCTATGCCTTTCATGTATTCAATAAATGAAGGGCTTTCTCAGTTTGCCAGCCTTTCACTTCTTGTGGCAGCTGGCACCTGTGCCCGCTTCACAGGACTCGACTGGAGCGTTTTTACACAAGAGTTCAGCCCTCAGACTGGGGCTTATATGAAAACACCAGCTACGGTACAGTGGTGGCGATGTATCAAATCCATGTGTGCTAATGTAGGTCTCATTTTTGTTTCTGTTCCTTTTTTCCATCTGTTGACATGTCATCACCTTTATTGAAAATTTGGGTCTTGTTTTTCTGCTGCAGCCTGTTGATGTAATGTTGGGTTGGGTTCTGGAATACTCTGCCATTTTTGTGTTGAACTTCCTGAGGGAAGGAAACTAAGGAACAGCAAGTGCTGAAGTAGAGTAGTTATGAGCGAGGAAGTAAAAATGGGTTTGTTTTGGTGGAATGTCTGCGAAGTTCCCCTATTTTTGTGTGAAACATACATTAGTAGGCTTTTTCAGGGAGTTTGTAAACCTATTTATTCAGGAAGGGACAAACCTTTTAAGCAGATGTCATTAAATGGAAGCGACGTGGATATAGTTGTAAAGTAAAGTAATCAGTCGACTGCTATAATTGCTGGTAAGGTCACCATAGTTATATAGTTAATCTTCTAAAACTCTTCCACTTTTGGGAAATTGTGAAACTTCAGTGTGGACATGGATATTTGACCAGGGTTGTTGCCAGGCAACAGTGTCCCCCACCCCCAGTGTGGCAGATTGTAATCCGCAAAATTCAATGAACAGGTTCCTCTTCCAAAATATCAGAATGGCGTTTGCTTTTGAAAATACTGTCAAAATATCATATACAGTGGTCTAAGTCTGTATGGTGTGCTGGCTTGAAAAATTAGAAGCTGCCCAAGCCGACGTTGCCTACACGCCTTTAGCTGAAGGTGATGTACGGTGAGGTTGTGTGGGTGGGTGCAGCGGCCTGGTTTCACTGGTTTCGTGGTTCTGCCTGTTTGAAAGAGCACAGATGTGCTTTGAATATTACTCTGCTTACCTGTTCATTCACACCATGGCAAGATAAACGTTGCCATTCCCTCCTCCAGTAATCCCTGTGTCCCGTGTATTTGTTTGCTGTAATGAAAAACTGAGTTTTTTCCCCAACAAACCTCGTTGGTGATAATGTCAACACATTACAGAAACCTCGACAGGTGATAATGTCAACACATTACAGAAACCTCGACACTGAAGTGACTCCATCTGCCAAAAAACTCCTTACCTGCTACAATGTCATGGAGTGCTTATCCTGGAGAACAGGAGACATAACAGCAGAGCGCCCTGATTGGATATATAGTAAAAAGCTATATACACAAATATGCAGAGACCTTGTAAAAATGCACGGGGGGAGGATTCAAACCACCGACTTTGTTGCTACCCACCGAGTCCCCATGAGCCTCTTTAAGTGAGTGAACGACACTGTGACTCTACGTAGTGCCTCATTACTGTAACCCCATGAGCCTCTTTAAGTGAGTGAACGACACTGTGACTCTACGTAGTGCCTCATTACTGTAACCCCATGAGCCTCTTTAAGTGAGTTAACGACACTGTGACTACGTAGTGCCTCCTTACTGTAACTTTCACGCCATCCAAGCACATTTCATTTACGCCTCATTCCTGGATCCTTCTATGGAGTCGAGTATCTAGATCAGTACACTAAGCAGATTTGGTAGTTTGGCTCCATCATCCTTTGTACTATGCGCCCTGAGTCCCAGGTCCAAGGCAAAGCGATTTAGATCAGGTTCCGCCTCAAAGATGAGATCCCTTCCAGAGGGGCCTGTGACACCTCTGCCTCATTCACTATGTTCTGTACATATTCACAATAGATTTAAATCGACAGACAGATATAGCTAAAGTTCAAAACCAGTGCTAACATACAAATAAATCAACGTCCTCAGAATATTCCGAGGGATATTTTCCAAGTTCCTTAGAAGAGGTTATTTATCTGTTCACCAAGTATTTTTGAGTTGTGGGGGGAGCACTCATGTTTTCCTTGGTCATGAACTTACAGTTTCCAGTCCATGTGTCGAATTGGAGTAGACTGTGGTATGATGTCATTTCCAATAAGTTTAGCTCTATGAGTGAGAGAGGCAGGCATTTAATATTCACACTGCTCTGCACCCATTGTGGGTTGATTTTTTTTTTTTTATTCTTAATGTCCCTATAATTTCATTGGTTTAGCTGGTGATCTAATCCAGAAGTAAAGTGTCTCTGCGAGTGCGTATGTACACTTTACGTAGAGCATCAGCAAAAAGTATTTTTGAGTGCATACGCCGCGAGCGTTTCTGATGATCAAGCTGCAGTGTACAGATAAGACTGAAGGCACGCTGGTGCTTGGTGGAGTCTGGAGTGATGGAATTCCTGGGTGTCATGGTAATACTCGTACCAGGCGCGATGGTGGATGGATCCAGCTCACAAGGAGGAAATACCGGCTTCATCTGAATATAGGAGCCAGAAAAAAACGATAATGGGTTTGGGTGTGAGAAAGCGGAACTGTCTCAGTCAAGCGGCCTAATAATAAGGCGTGGTGGGCAAATGTATTTGTCACTCGACTTCATGTCAGTGAGATGTCAACACCCTTTCTTACCGTTTTAATTTTGTCATTCAGGATAGATTAGTTGATAGACATTAGCTGATGTATGAAAATGTGAAAATGTTCATGTAATGCATAATTGTTTCATTTTTCATTGCTGATAAGGGTTTCACCTTGACGATTCTATAGTCAGAAATGGGTTCTCCCCTCAATTCTCTATGTCGCTCAGAGAAAGCATAAAACTCATAAAACAGCTGAACTGGTGACGACATGAGGGTGGCACCTTTGTTTGGTTTTCTTTTGGATTCTGGTTTTGCTTCCTTCCTGAAACTTACGTTGAAAGCATGTCGACACTCTCTTTCCAAAGGCCAAATAGTTAGATAGGCCCCGGCCCAGCAGTGCCCACGTCATGGAATATTTGTAGTGCTACCTGCTAAACTACTACGTGAAATTCTTACGCTTTGGGAGCCTCAGTAAGCAGAGGACAGAGGTCACATACGCTAACTATGATTAATTTAGAGACACCCAATTCAGCATGCTGTGTGTTCTTGGACCTGGAGGAACACCTAGGGGTGAGACTCAAACACGCATTCCAGGAAGTGCGAGGCTAGTCCTACAAACTGGGAAATACAGTTAGCTGATCTGCCATTAAGGTTACTGGTTTCCGTTTGCATCTTTCAAGTGATTAACGTTGGTGTCTGACTCCATTGATCTCTAGTTTCATTTGCTGATGGGCTGTGGGTACGGAACACAGATGCTTGGTAATTAGTATGTTTTTTGTATTCCCGTTTTTCATCTGCTGTGATGCATTTGCAGAAGTCCCCACTGATGCCCCAGTTTGGGGGTGTCGGCCCGCTTGTTGCCCATTATCTCCTCTCTGCAGACCTCCTTGTCCCATGATGGTGGAGTAAGATGCTCTCGATGTCTGTTGTCCGTTTGACGGCGCTCCCCGCTTCTGTGGGAGTTGCGTTATTGTGTTGAGAATGTGAGACCGGGCTAGTTTCAAAGCACAAACCCGGCCCTTTCAGAAATCCTGTGGCTCCGTCTTCCTTAAAGGTCTGACCTTGTCATGAGGCATGCAGAGCGGGTACCATCCACAGAGGTCAGTATCAACACTTTCCGTGCATAGACCTGAGTACCTTCAGCCGGCACGATAAACTTATGAAAGAATCCTTAATTTTAGGAAGTTAAAGTAAAATGTAGATAAGGAGAAAGAGGTAAATCGCTTGTTTGCATTTTTAATCCATTTTGAAATCAAAACACATTTCATTGTGTAGATGTGTGATGTAGAAGAAAAGGAAAATCTGAAACTAAAAGCAGTGGCATATTACTGCCATTGTTAATGAAGGCCCTGCGGATCCAGCTAAATTTAATTTGCTTCTTAAGTTTACTCTCCTGTAATTCACATGAGTTTTCAGAACACAAACATCTCACTACGTGAATGAATATGTAGAGTATGGTATTTTACCGTAATCCTTTGGGAAGGTCCATGAATTCTTTGTAAGGTCTCTGTATTCTGGTGACCAATGTGAAGGGGTTCATTCTTCTCATGGTCTGCAGTGTGCCAGCAGAACAGTCGATTCGTTAACAAGTAAGCAACTTCCCGTGCAAGAAGAGCCAGACTGTTGTGCATAGTGCTTGGCTCTGCCTGCTGACAAAGGTCCGCTGAACAAGGGCTGCCCTCGTCCAGCCTTACCGTAACGGGATGCTCTGCACGGGAAACAGGCGGCGTGGGGCTGAGCAGATGCTTCCCGAAGACTGAGACAGTATTGGGGAGAGTAGCTTTGTCTGTCAGCATTTCACCATACAACGGATGACAGAGTTTGGGAAATGACTTTGCAGTAAACTGATTAAAGCGATAACGTCAGAATTGTTCTGTTCCTAAGAGCTAGATGAGACCTGAGACTCTTAATTTACTTAACAAAAATCAATGTAGCACTATCAGGTTTTAATTTAACCACCTGTGCTTTTATTTATGTTTGAGGAGATCACTGACCTGTGTCTGTTGTGCCTTAACGTAAACAAACACTTTGTGATATCCCAGTGTCAGCCTTCCAGTCTCTACATGTCACTCATTAGCAATGCCCTGAAAATCTGTATATTTATCCAAACACAGCAGGTCCTTGGCAGGAGGGCATTCTCAGGGCAGGACAAAGGAGCTAGACAGTGGAGATTAAACAACCAGAAAGGTTTTATTAAACAAAGAATGTGACATTAAATGGGAGAAGCCCTATGAGAGCAGAAGACAAATATAATGATTATATATGTACAGCCCCTCAAACAAAATCCCACACTGCTTCCAATGCCAGTACATTCCTCTGGATCTTTCCCCTTCCGTCCCTCCAGGTCTCTCCCAATGCCCACCCACTGAGGAGCCAAGGCCAATGAATGTCATTTCTTGCCATGGCAACACAGGACCGCACCCACTTCCCAGTACAGAAAAGACGATTACGTAATGCTTACATAATGCTTCCCCATGATCAGTAAGTGGTTGAGTTCTATGGTTCCACTGAAAAACATACTGTTTCATTTTTTCCGTGCCTTATTAACTGACCTCATTGCTCAGTAGGCAGAATCCACTCCATACTGATAAGGAAGTGAGCAACAAGCTATCTATTAGGGTACCCTCAGTGGCTCATTGGAAATGGGGTTTACTGGCAAACGTGCCGTGGATCAGCCAAAATCCTGGGGACTCAAACCAACACCCACATAGCAAACATGTTTCTGCAATAATGCAGTAGATACATTCCTGTACAACTTTTTGTTACTCAAAATCCTGCAATAAAATTACCAAATATCTAACCAAAGTATTACCTAATCTCCTCAAAGTTCTTTATAAGATCAAGCTTTTTAACAAGTGCCTTCAAGCTTCCTGTTTTTTATGTCTGAAATTTCACTGATAATTAGTGAAATAAATTAGTGAAAATCCTTCACGGGCAAAATTGTTCAGGTCTGTTACTGTTCCATTCAAACCATAAACTGGTGAAGAAATTACACACAAGCCAACATATTTGTGTTTTTAACTCATAAGTTTCCCGTATTTATCAATCATAGATGAGCCAATTCATGTTGTGTAAAGTCACATAACAGCAGAACCGTGTGTATCTGTACCATCGCTGTGACTACAGGGTCCTCCTTCTGTGAGTCACCCCTGGGAAAGCCAGTATTACACAACCAATCAATCATTAGCCACAAGTTGACTTAGCTCAGAGAAAACTTGCCACAATAAGTCAGACAGCTAACAGGGGAAACTATTACATTTGACTGAACTAGAAGAAAACTATCAAACACCCTGAAACATCCTTTCAGAAGACAAACTTCACCCAAAACAAACCCCACACTTTCATCTGATAGCGATAATAGCAACAGTATTTAGCGGTAAGCAATGAACCTGTACTGAATTATATTTCTAGTCAGAAATTAACTATAATGAACAAAAATGTCTGAACTAGCCAAAACCGCCGTCACTGTTCACCATCATGGAATAACAAAGCTTCCCTCTGCTGCCCTCTGCTGGCTGAGCTGCAATACTTGCTACACGCTTCGGTATTTACGTAGCACGGTGCCATCATGTGCGCGCACCTTAATTCATAACAGCCCCTTATGTTTCACTTATGCCTTCAAAATGCTTTATATTATGCTCACGTGAAATGAATCCCTCAATTAACTGCATTCTATATTATATCACTGCCGTACTGCAAAAGCCAAGGCACTGAAGGGTTGTAGTAAATATTTTAGGTAACTTAATATTTTTGGGTTTGTACCATGTCACAGCTTTGCAGGGCAGGCTTTGGGTCAATGTAACCCTGATTATATTAGCGTTTAACACGAAAGAGATATTTCAGACACTCTTGCCTTCAAATTGTATTACTACATTACAGCAGTGAAGTGCCACCTAGTGGTACAAAAACAATATTACATTATATAAAATATTTATTTCAAACAGTTAGATACGCAGCACACCCGTTGATGTCTCTGTATCGTGTATTGGCTCTCCTGTGCCAAAGACTGCATTTTCAACTGGATCACACCGGTGCCTCTCTTTACAAAGCCTGCAAGTAAATACATGATACGGCATTCCTCGTTTCCTAGCTCGCGATTCCTTCTGGATCTAAATTCCTCTTTGTCCCGACGAATAGAGTGCAGGAGTTCTCTGTTTATCCGTGATGTTCCTCGGAGTGGCCGGAAGCAAACCAGGGCTGGCATGTGCTGAATATGCACAGGGTGCCTGTCTGTTCACAGCTGGGGTGCCAATCTGACTCCGGAGGACTGGAGTCCCACTGGTTTTGCAATTTGTTTTAATTAGTGCCTGTAAGTCCAGGTGAGGCAACTGACGTTCCAAATAATTACTGCAATGAAGATATTTAGAACTGAAGCTGTGTGAAGATACCTCTAAACTGGAGTCTCTGTTATAAACAGAGATGAAGCAGCTTTCGTGCTTTAAGAACACAGACGAGAGGAACCTGTCTTTCATGCCGCCACTGCTCCGGGATTTACGGCCAGCAGAATCCGTGCCAAGTGATGACGTAAGGCGAGTTCAGAAGGTCGGAACATTCTGCTGTTTTCCCCAAATGAAACCTGCGCGTCTAGCGAAGTCTCGCCTGGGTTCCGGAACAGTGACAGGACATGGCGAGAAAGCTGAGCCCACAATACGCGCAGACACACAGCGTCTGCAGGTCTTTTTTGGGGTAGAAAAACAGACACTGGTCAAAAAGTTTTTTTTTTGCCAGACATATTTACCTACCACTGCTTTACCTTTTAGTATGACACCTCACCTTTAACTTTGACTACTCTTACCTCGGGATACCAACCGCAGATGACCAGATTGCCACTTCCTGTAATCGAGGACGGAGTCCGTGCAACATCCTATCCGCCCGAGTCAGTCGCCACAGGAAGCATCACGCCTCAGCGCGTTTTAAATCAAAGACCAAAAAAAGCACAATTTAGGCCTCGCGGAAAATTCCACGATCGTAAGAAGCCGTGGCTCGCAATAGCCAGACGACGGGGTCGCGTCCGCAGAGTCCTTGGGGGGAACGGAACAGGTTCCCAGCACCAGGGGGCAGGCTGTAGCAGGCCGAGCACATGCTCCGTGACCTGCTGCGGAACCAGTCAGGCTTCTGTTTAGTTTTGACTTATTTTTGGTTTTAGAACTGACCTTCGATGACTGCATCCTTTGTTCATTGCACCCAGAGCCACAAAAAAAAAAAAGTGCGTTACAGACCAAAACCTACTGAAGAAAAACATTTTCACAAGCTTTGCATGCATTGACGGTTATCGATTGAATCATCTTGGACCACAGACCCTCGTGCAGAGGCGGGCTGGACTGGGGATCTCCCTTCGCCTCCAGTCTTCCCTCCTCCGCTGTCTTTCCACGTTCTCCGTGCCGATTTCCCTCCTACATTGTAACCGATTTCAAATGGTGCTAGAAAGCTACAATGACTCTGAACACCAGAAGAAATCAGTCAGCCCTGATGAGAGATCGCACGGGCCGCCCTTCTGCTGACGTGTGACTTACCAGGCTACTTCCTGTATCACCGCAACACAAGTAAAAAGTATACTTTCTAAAATTCTAAGTATAAAATAAAACAAACGCATAACATCTGAGGTTCTTTTTGCGAATTGGTTCATTTTAAAAATCCCGTCGTTTCCATCCCACAAACAAAAGCTATGCTGTGGGATTTTACGCTAAATGGGTTTTACTAAAAAGTGGAACCTGGACACAAATGTAAATACAAGCGCTGGCCTTTAATTACGCATTCTCCCTGAGCAGGCAAAGGTGTCATTTCCACCCCAAGAACACTGATTTCAAATGGTGCTAGATTCATATTATAGACACTCTAAGCCACCATCTGAAACCAGCTTCCAGAAGCAGACTGTTAGCGTGGCTGGTCTGTTAGCTTACTATCTTTGCAGGTGTATGTCTTCTCCTCAGTAGGGTTCCTGTACAAGCTGCCCGAAACTGGCTGAGACTCGTACACTGAAAACACTCGCACAAACAGCAGCAGCGGCAACAACAACAACAGCAGCAACTACAACAACAAAAATGCATCATTTGCTGTAAGCATGTTTTCATTACATTTTTGCCATATTCCGAGATGACAAAATATTGTTTAAATTGTCATATAAAAACCCACATGATTTTACAAATATCCTAACTGTAAATAATCAATACTTATCAGTCCTTATAAACATTACTGTGATTATTTGCAGTGCATGCTAGTAACTGTCACATATCTACATGCTATATCTATATGCTATTATTATTTTCTACATTGAACTCTTAATTAATTGATTAATCAATTTTAATTATTATCATGCTCTTGATTAAATTCTGCTAATTACTTCTGCTGATTAAATTCTCACCATGATTTTATCTTGAAATTCTTGAGACATGTTTATACCATTAACTATGCAATGCAAATTACGACCATAAATTATTTCACTAAGCAGATTAATTGATTCCTGTGGCAATATACTGGATAACTGGTTGGAAGATGAAGGTACGCATTGGTATTTAATCATCTTAGATGAAGAGATTTTTTTTTACTATTGTTCAAGGACGACAAGCAAAACAAGCCAAAGTAACAGGTTCCATTTTAAAAGACACAATGTCATGTACAAGTCTAATCTGAAAAAACGTGGCCTTAGGTGCGGGCCACCATCGCAGGAATGTCAGTCCAGCTCACATTGGACACAAACTCTTCTAAACCACAATTTTCTGTACTGGACTAACTAATAAAAGTGAAGATAAAGCCGTGGTAGTGGGACTCGAACCCGAACCACAGAGGGGCTACACCTTCAGTGCAAACAAAATTTCACATGGGCGTAGTCCCATTTTCCACCCAATTTACCCAGTGCCAGGTTACATGCAGCCTGGAACCTATCCATTGCAGTACAGGACACTGATCAAAACTTCACAACAGAAACTGGTTTTAACAAAAACGGGTAAAAATTGCAGATACCTCAGGACCAGTTTGAAATCCACCACATTTTCTAATGATCCAATTCATATACGAGTTACAAAAGTAAGAAAGATGTTTGCACTTTCCGATTTCTGAATGGAAGATAAAGATCGTGAGAGTTTCCCAGAAGACATACTGCAATGCACAGGACTTCAAACAGGTGTTTTGACCTTTGAACTCTGAAGCTGCCTTAGACATCTGCTGAATCCAAGCCAGCCAGAAATACAGCCAAAGAGAGATTTTTATTAGCATAACAAAGCGTATAATGGTTTATACCACATTTCAAAGATAGGTTCTAGAACCCCTAAATTCAAAATGTGATATGCTTGCAGTTAAGTGTGTTATGTCTTATTTCTGAATCATTTCTTAAAATCATGTGCCACTCACCTCCATTTCCTGGGTCATCCGTCTGCTGAAGTGTGACGTAATTTGAAAAAAAAAATGCCAAACTAGGAACGACTCTGCCAGGAACCTGATCTGCCCTGACAAAAGAGGAAATTTATTTAATCAGGACCTGGATAGAGCAGACGAAAAAAAAAAAGCATGTATTCCATTACATGGCGGTCCTTGTAAAGCACAACATATCATGATTATTTAGTTTCTTTACACAACACTGTCATGGCAACACCAAACAAGACAGCCATGGGTGACGAAGTACCTTGAAGAAGATGAAAGAAAATGAAAACACAGATGTAGAACTTATGAGCCCAAAAAAAGAACACGAGGAAACAGTTTTTTAAATTAAAACTGCAGCCCTTTTGCCCCCCCGCCCAATCCCTACACATACTTTTCTGCCACATCAGTAGGTACCGACACTTGTTATGTAAGGGCTAATATTTGTTTCGTGACACTGGAAAGCCTTGTCCACACGGTCCCACGGTTCAGATTTGTCATCTGTAGAGCCCAACTCTATGGGGGGAGACCAGAGAGGAAAGAATCGGCCAACAGAGGGAAGATACACAGGCTGTGTGCATCAGGTTACCATATCCTTTGTTCTGAGAGAGAAAGGAAAGCGTGTTTGAACCGGCTGTCTTAAACTCATTCCTCAGAGGATCCTGTTTACTGCACCCCCCCCCCCCCCCCCACACTCATTCCTGCGGCTTAATTGTTCCCCTCTCCAATATTAAACCCCTGTATTTCCGCTAACCTTTTCACTTCTGCTGTAAATGTTTTACGTTTCTTCGCATCGCAGGCTCCTCAATGTCGGAATGTGTATAAGGAAGCCCAAGTGTCTAACGTCCCGTGTAATCCTGCAGTGAAGTCGGAGCGAAAGATCCGAAGAGACCAAAGATCTCCGAGCCAGTCGGCCAGATAGCCAAGCACCCCGAACATGCAGGGGTCTGGCCCCAGCAGTGAGGCCTGGCTCCTCTGGTCTGAGCCCTCTATGCCCGTGTGGTCCTTATGATCGCCTCCGCCCCGTCCAGTCGCTGATCACTGTTTGCCGAAAATAGCATGGGCGTTCTCAGATTTTTATTAAGCGCCAGTAATTCAAAGACGGCATAAGCTGATGGAAATGATTAACGATACGCTTACGTACGTCAGGCTATAGCTGGCCTTGCAGGTTGCCTTCAGTAGAGAGATGTTGTGGGAGGCGGGTGGTTTTTTTTAGGATCAGGTGGGTGTAACCAGTGGCGGTCTTACTGACACAGTGCCTAGATCCCCCGCCCCCCTCCCCAACACAAAAAACCTTCCAAGTCTTCAGTTGCTGCTCGCTTATCCTACCAATAAAACAGTGCCAGGGTGTTGGCAAGTGAGTCGCTCGTTTAAAGTTCCGAGGGACGCCCTTCGGCCTGAAACTCAACCCTGGCTGATTGTCTACCCCCCCGCCCTCCCCGCTCGCTGGAGAGCCAGTGAGGCGCTGGGCGATGGCGTTAGCGCAGACAAAGGACCTCGATTCCTGTGACCTTCCATTAAGGACCACTTCTGTCCGTGGCTCCGTTTCATGGCCACGGCTGAGGGCTTTTCCAAACCGAAAACCTTAATCAGAGTCCTACCAGCAGTACCTCTGTAATGTACCTTTTATGGAAGCATAACATCTTCATTTAAACAAGCATGACGCACATTCTGTCACTAGCGTTACGATGTGACATAACCCTTTGCCCTGTACTCCTGGCCGTCCATATTGGACACACCTTAGCTCAGACTTTAGACACTGATCCTGCCTGATGATACCCCGTAGGGGCACTTAATCGGACAGAATTGTATGCATGAATATATATATTTTATGGTCTAAGGTAGGGTTATTTATGGTCTATATAGACGGCCAGATTAATAACGTACAAAAAACGCCATACTGAAATCAATGGTCGCAGTTGCAATGGCCGATGACTTAGGCAGCCTCCCCTAAGACCACGTTTGTGCTTGCGTGTGTATTTTTTTTGTGTCTTTGTCGTGACTCGTAAAAAACCCGGATTCTGGCGGCAGTATTGAATGACGGTGTTACAAATAAACCCGGATAGTATCTCCTCCTCCCTCAGCCCTTTGAAAAGCTCCTCATTTGCGAAACACCTCTGGGTCGAGTTTTATCATCTGGAGTCAAGGGGCAAACAAAATGCCGCTGTAACAGAAGTGTTTGGTCAACAATTCGGTAACAGGTTCTTGGCGGTTTTACCGGGGTTATTTAAAAAAAGCATATGACTCACTCTGCGTGTCTTAAATCAGACTAATTCAAATGACCTGAATAAGTCAGTCAAACAGGGTAACGAGTCCTCAGCTCCGACTTCGCGCGTCCTTGGGAGATACCACCAACAAAAGGGCCTTTTTTTGCCAGGCCCTTGGATTAAGTATGCGGACCGTCCCTCCCCAGGCAGTGAGACGGCACGCTTGGAAAGGGCCAGGGCACGGGACGATACAGAAACCAGCCCCCCCACGCCCCATTCCTGGGGGCACCAGAGACATGCCCAAAGGATGAACCGAGCACCATCCCGGCTGGGCCTGCTGACGGGGCCCTCAGGCCAGCGGGAGAAATACAGGCAGATGCGGGTCATTCATTACTCGCCTCCATTACTGCCTCTTGTTCCAGGCCGTACCACTGAAGCGATATGATAGCACTTTCTGAACCTCTCCCCACCCTGCTCTCCGATTGCACTTAGGATCCTCCTTATCTGCATCAGTGCCCTTTGACGAGAGCCACACCCCCCAGCAAATCTGTTGTTGTTTTATTTTTTACTTGCAATCTGACTCGCAACCTCATGAGCGAGGGGCAGGGACTCAAACATGACGTCCCGGACGTGAGTGGCGACAGGCCCCCGCCAGGCGGGGGGAACCAAATAAAACACACATCTTGCGCAAATGGCGAAACGACTCCCTGTCTCTCTCCACCCTTTTCTCACTCTCCTGTGTCTGTTGTTTGTTCTCCTGCAACCCTAAACCCCGGGAACTTCATGGCAGGCGGTACGAGCTCCATGTGTCGCTCCATGTGCCAAGAGAAAGCCGTGCTCACGGTGAAGGTGCCACAGCCGTGAATGGGTTCCCAACACTCAGCCACACCAACTCAACATCAGATGCACAGAAAATAAGCAACGTACATTCAAGAAAAATCTTCAACAGCATCCTTTACGTTAAAAAAAGTATTAAGACACTAATTAAATATTTCTGAAACATTTGTAAAATATTCATCAAATATTTACTGCAGTATTGTCATAAATTACAAATGACACTAAAAATATGTAACTTTTAACTTGATATACATAATATCCATTCATCCACCTATCCATCCATCCATTCACCCTCTAACTACGTACCCTATTTAGGGTTGGGGGGGGGGGGGCGTTGGCTGGCTAGGGTAAACTTTGGAGAGGATATCAGCCTATCACACAAACACACGCAACTACACACAGGTTTGTAATTATATCTTTGTGGGGACTCTCCATTCATTTCTATGGGGAACACTCTAATCCCAACATGACGACCTTAACCCCTACCCAGCCCTAACCTTCGCCCTAAGTAACTAAACAAAATCCAAGACTTCTGGAATTTTTTTGTTTTTCGATTGCATTCACAGATTTTTCAGGTCCCCACAATGTCAAAAAAGAGGTTTTTATTACATTGTGGGGACCAAATGGCCCCCACAATGTAATAAAAACATAATCCCTACCCAGCCGTAACCTGAACCATAACCAAACAAAATATGACTTTTGACATTTTTAGTTTTTTCATTGCAGTCACAGATTTTTCTTAAATTAAAGTTGGTCCCTACGATGTCAAAATGACAAGTTTTTAATCACATAAGATGCATAACCCACCCTCACACACACAGTCAATCTCTATTGATTAAGGTGTCTAGAGAGACACCTGGAGAACGTAAAGAACATCCACACACCAGAGGGGAGAAGACGCAAACTCCCCACATACCTCCCAATAACAAATCACCACGCCCCAGGTCCCCACGCCGCGCGTACGCTTCATACGAATCAGCGGCACCACTGGCTGTGCTGCTTTTATACATTTAGGAAGCGTCCCAAAGTAAATGCCCCCCCAGGGCTTTTTACATGGGAATTTGGGAAGTCAGAGCCCAGGAGCCTAGAGGGGAAATGGTAGACAAGCTCAAGTTCAGGGGTTAATTACAGGGTAATAAAAATAAAGGTCTCTGTTAAGCTCTGCGGACCCTGAGGGGCTCTCGTACCGCTGGCTTCTCCCTCCTCCAGCTCCACGTCACTTCGTCAGACTTCAGTTGTCTTCCGGCGTCTGACACACATGTTTATTAAGGCTTAAAGGGGCAGTTTTTTTTAGGAAACTAAAAAAATCACAGCAGAGGCTCATCAAGCCCCGCCCTTTTCCAAATGATAGCTGTTCTTTGTGTCTTTTCGCCCGAAAGCTCCACCCAGCCGCTTACTGACTCCATGTTCCCCTCTTACCACCACTGCGGAGGCGGGGGGGGGGGGGTTGCTAATTTAATCAAGCGCCCAGTGCAGGCGAAACTGACACGGCTCACAATCGAAGGAAATGATTTTACGTGGCTGTTTGAGAAATTCTAGGTACTAAATTTTTACAAATTTCAGTTCGTCGTGAACAGGTAAACTGTTCGTACAGCACCATATACGACACATTTAAAATCCATTGAGAGGTCTCTAAAAGCCATTTGCTAATCTGATTTTTGCCATCTGCTCTGTACGATGTAATCACATGAACGTGCTTGCTAACTTCCGAGTGAGCTTGCATTTCCCCGTGCGGGTTAATTAAAAATGCCACTCCTGTGATCATGTGGTAATTTATAAATAATACTTTATGCCATTGGGCACTAAAGTCCAACGACCGGCGCCCTGAGTTTAAATGCACCTTCACCACAGGCTTCTTCACCGCCTCTGAAACCATCCTCTGGTCTGATGCTGAAATCTCCCCGGCAACACGGCGTGCCCAATCCACGCTGGGCATCTGCGATTGCGGTGCAACAAAATCATCGGGCTCCACTGGCCGACCAGCGAGACCCAGGCCTCGATTTTCTCGGCCCAGTTCATCCACAGGAAGCCAGTTGTCTCATAACCCCAACCCCGAAGAACATATTAATAACTTTGCAAGGGAAACAAACTCTATAATCGAAGTGACTCGGATATCGATCAATGTTTGCTTTCATAGAAATGTTATAAAATAAAAAAGATGCCAAACACTAAAATCATCAAACCTGCACAGGTATCTCCTGATACGTCGGTACTCCGTATATCTCAGTATAAAGTAAATAACTTCCCTGTCGGGTTTATTTCAATGCAGGCTGTGCCTTCAGGTATCTCTCTCATTGTTCCTTTTATCCATTTGTAAATATATACACAGGTAGGTTATGCAGATATAACATTTCTCAGCCTTTAATGTTTAACAGCACATTCTGGATGTTGCTGTCGTCTGCTGGTTCGCTTTAAAAATCCATTACTGTTTGACTATTGTCTGCATGCATCTTCATATCCATGCATTTGAGGCGATTTTGATTAAACTAAAAAAAGAAACTAATTTCTGTATCCCTTGATGGCCACGCATGACTGTGTGTCATTACCGACACAGTCCGACGAGAGAGGCACCGCTGGAAAGCCACTGCGTAAATTTACAGGGTCGGCACCCGGCCGTCTGCCCGGCCTGCAGAAAAAGGGCCCGGGCAATTTATATGGTCCTAACGAGGCACCTCTTGGTCCAAAAGCTGCCTCTCGTCCCATGGAGACAATTCCTCACCCCCCCCCCCCCCTCACAACCCCCTCTGCCGAAAACTGCACTTCTTTCCATAGAACTTCAGGCAGACGTGACAGAAAGAAGCTGGAGGAAATGACTCCATCCGCACGGCGACTCGTTCAGGAAGCCTGTTAGATCCCAGCATCATTTCTGGGAAGGACACTAATTCGGTCATATGTGTCACACCAAGACAAATCAGGCCTTTGAATCATCTGCAGACCAACGTGGGCCATTAGCAGCACCTACACCTCGGTGACATCACGTCCTGGTTATGACCTAATACGGGGAAAACAACAACAACAACAACAACAACAACAGTACCCAACTGAGGCCCTTCTGGCATCTCAATCCAGAGAAAACGGTATAAATGTCTGAGTTAATTTTTCTACGAGCACGAGGCAATCGTTTAAACGTAAATTATCTCCATATATTAAGGCCACGGCTGTAAAACAGAAGGGCCAATGCTGACAAGAATGTTTTTTTCCTCAAAACGGTCGTTTTTCAGCAAAAACAGAAGACCGAAATGACAACACGTCACGTCTTGGCCAATCGGAATCAGCCGTGCACCTGTCTGCCCCCCATCCAGCAAATGAGGCTTAGACTGCGGTCAGCGGGAGAAGACTGTGGCTCCTTTGCCCCCGTTATGCCGGGATATGCGTTTGGGAATCTGCCGTCATATCTGTTGCCAGGAGAGGAAGGTAAACAACACGTTCCAGCTGACCGGAAGCGCTGCTTCATCTATACTGTGGAATCTTCCAAATCACCACTCCCCCCCCCCCCCCCCCCCAACAACGCTCTTGGGGAGGAAGAAACACTGTGTCTCTGCAGTCGTCCCTGCACAAACAGACCCGCCATTGCGAGTAAAGATTCACAGGCGGGACGAGGTGCGACCTGCCCAGGTAACATGTAACATGAGTATCCCTCCACCCCGCCCCAATCGGACCCCTCCCAATCTGCCTAAAATCACCCCTGCCCCGTGCCACAATCCGCAGGTCCTTCGACCCGGCTGAGAGCGAACTCTGGGTTTGTCACTTACCACAGAGTCGTCCGCTAAATCGGGGCTGAAATGAGAAAAATTAAACATTCTTTAAATATGACTTCTTAACTGTTGTGTAGCGATGAGATGCTATTTCACAGGTGATTCAGCAAATGTATACAGACAGATTTTCATGCGTCAACTTGCATTTAGCAGAGCAACAGGTAAATATATGCATAAGTGCCTATTTGCATACCGACGTATGCGGCGTTTACATATGATATTTATACAGTAACACACATATTCCCTTTGCCACAATTGGCGTCACTGTACGTGTATTTGACGATAATGACCTCCTTCTATGCCACTCTCAGGCACATGCTATCCTGACACAAAGAATCTTCCAGAACAGTCCGCCCTGCATTAACCGCTTGCCTCGTACCCCGCTCCGGGTCCGCGTCGGTCCGACCCAAACTGCGCCACCGTCTCCGTCCGCAGCCGCTCGCTCCCATCATGGATGGCGGAGCTGGTCACAGGCTGCGTTAGTGACAGACACATCGGGAAAAGACTGCGAGGGCAAGCAGGTAGCACAGTCTAGGCTTCTGTTATGCTGGCTGCTGCTTCTCCCTGTTGACGTGAAAAAGTGACGTAGCAACTAATCCAGAATGCCTCTCCCGCTGCCGCTCCGGCGCTCGCTCTCCTTCTCAAGCCGCGATGGCAGCAGGAGCTCCGACGCTCCTCTGGATGTCAACAAAGCCCCGATGGCGGCCGGACGGACACAGGGACGGCCGGGCGGACGGACGGCGGGACGCATGGGCCGGCGTCGAGCCTCAGACAGCCGTGCATGTGACTGCCTGTCCTCGCAATATCTCTGCCTCGCTGTGACGCAGCACTTAATTCCCTGAGCCCCCCCCCCCCCCGCTGCTCCGGCCCCCCCCCCACCCAGAGTACGGTGCGCCTTCTTCAACAACTCCGGCCACTGGCACTGCTGTCGCACCGACACCGGAGTCCCCGTTAAAGGGACGCTTCTATCCCACCAGCCTGCCTCCACGCCTCCTCTCTCTCTCTGCCTCGCTCAAGCCAGGTCTCTCTTTCCCTCCCTCTCTCTCTCTCTCTCTCTCTCTCTCCCTCTCGGCGGTACTCCACTGCGTTCGGTTTCTTCCTGCAAGCTGTGCTGACTGTGTCTCCTCAGTCACCTGACAACTAGTGCTTTTAAAGGCATACCGTCCCACTTTTGGAGTAAGGCAAAAAAAAAAACAAACAAACAATGAAGACGAGAGATAATAAGATGGGTAGACAGTGAGGGGTGGGGTGGAGGGAGGGGGCCTGCGTCACACCTTGCCTGGGGGGGGGCGGGGGGGAAGGGGGGCTGGTGACACAACTCCAGGGATGGGGATCTTCCAATCACAACGATGACCAGAATTAAAAGACTTGCGCAGCTGCAAACGGTCCGAGACCGTCAGCTGACGCTGTGACGCATGGGCCCCCGAGCTTTCCAGAACAATCCAGAACTGTCCGATCTCTCAGAGGGCATGATTCAGCACGTAAGGACCATCTGCGGCTCTCCACTGGGACCGTGCCAAACTCGCCAATCCGCCAAGGTGAATGTGGGAGCCACTGTAAACGTAACAGCTGCCTTTTGCTCTTTAATATTTCAGCGGCCGCAGCCGTAACCGGCATGCGGCTGCTCTGGTTAGCGACCTGCAGGGAGCCCCAACCCTGGACAGCAGACAGAGAAGTCCGAGGTTCTGCTTTTCGCTTGTTGCAGGGAATGAAGGCTTCCGACCGCAACTGCACCAAAACTAACAACTGCAGACGAACTTCCTCCGGAAATGTCACAAACCGGGTTTTCTCAATGATCCCAAATCTGATGCCGCCAGCTTGACCTTCTGGACATATGAGTAGCTTTCTATCTCTGGTGCACTTTGGGATCTTAATGCCGATGTCACTAGCTCACCAGTCACATGACTGGCCCTACCTAGTGAACGCAACTTGAAGCTTCCGTTTGAGAGACATGGCGCATGTGTTAGCCATCAATGCTCTGTGACATTTCCAAATGCCCTTTTTTGGTTTTCGTTTAACTTGTGTACTCAATTCAGGCGACATCAGAAATTCCGGTTTCTCTGGAAAGGCTTTTGCATGATCACCTTGGACGGCAGGCAGGATGTGAAAGGATCACATTTTAGAAATCCCAACGCCTCTCGATGCATCATAATGGCGCTCGGTAGACATGGAGATCCCTGACCTTCCTCTGACATTATTCCTGGGTGTGATCAGTTAATGTGCAGATCTAATAAACAGAGACAAGACATTTTGGGGGGAAGCGCTTGCTTTGCTGAGGTCTTAAATGAAATACGTTCCAGCTACCAAGGTGAACGCTGGAGACCCGTCGAGACGTCAAAGTCCGACAGCTAGACAGTGTGTCCATATGGCCGAGACCCCCTCCCCAAAAGTTAATGTCTATTGTTCTGCTCTCACCGGTTTAATCTCCTGTGACAACTAAGGAAAGTTCTAGGCAGGACTGACACGTTAACAATTTCTTATCAATGAATTTCCAAAAAAATACTTTAAAAGCATTTAGTAACAAAAATTATTTGTCAGCTAAGATATGAGGCAAGGATTCCAAGTTCTAGTTTCACCTCAGTGGGAACATCTGGGCTCGACCACACTCCTCGTAGGCTGTACCATCTCAGAATGGTTACTAGAGCCAATATAATCCCTAACCAGGCCTCTCATGCTCTCTTGTCATATAAAGAGCCTTTCCTCTTCTCCTACCTGTTTGTCTCTGTGCTCTGGCTCCTCACTTGCCAATCCAGGTCCAGGTACAAAGGAGGGGAGCTTCCTGTCATGCGTTGGACTTCCCATGATGCATTGGACTTCTCCATCTGCATGGATGAATGCAGGAAGAACTATAAGCCCTTAACAGATTACAGCTCTGAATTAAAATGTGTGTGTGGAGAAATGATGAGGCTGAGAGAACCCACATTTCTCCTAAGTGAATGTTAGTAGTTCAGAAACAAATCCTCCATTTGCCCTCAAAAGCAACGCTGATGTTTATTTAGGAATAATGATTAATCCAAGCGACGTATTACGTCTTTCTCTTCATGGCGGAAGGCAGATACATGCTAAACTATCGTTTAATTATTAGTCTGGTGTTTCGGAGCAGAACCAAGATGACCTCATCGTGGATTGTCCAGGCCAAACCCTGCCCATGTCTGGCCCTCAGCGTGAACGGCGGGCGCGTGGGCATGTGCCGGGGGGGGGACCCCAAGACTACCAGGCTGTGGTCCAGCAGCTCAGCCTAGCCTGCCCACGTCAGCGTGGACTAGAATGCTGCTTTATTTTCTTAATTTTATTTTTGGTTTGATACTCTCCTTGCATTTTGAGAGCACAGATGCATAGTAGATAGGGCACAGGACTCAAGCTGGATTCTTTTTTACATGACTTTTCTATGCATGTTTCCCCCAAAGATACTCAAGGGTAAACAACGCTTACGACGAGCCCAATAACATCTTCCATCTCCTCCTGATGCACTAATAGGTGACACAGCGCATATAGCTCTGCTCTGGGCCCCCTCCCAGAGCGTTTGATGTGGCCTGTGACTCTGGGTTTGCCGCAGTCACTGGGTTTAGCTTGAGATTGCCAGGTCGATGCCGGAAGAACTGATTTTCACCGCACTACCCGATTGGCCCGGGGGGGCCGAGGGGGCGTGGCTGGTTGTAGGAAGATCAAAGCAGGCAAGAAATGTCCATGGGGATGGCCAAGAGAGAAAGGCGAGGGAGGGTATCCAGACAGGTAAGAAATGTCAACCTCAGGCAGCTGTTCATCCAGACAGCCCCCAGTGCCCCCCCCCCGATTGTCCCAAAGTCCCTCTCAGAATCCTCCATCAAGATGAAAACCTGGAGGAACATCCACTTCATGTAAACTGAGCAGAATTACCTTGGGTAAACTGCCTTAGGTAGAGCGCCAGCCGCAAAACGACGAACAAAGTTACCACACGACGGTGACGTCCAAAACAAACCATCGCGGCTCCCCCCCCCACCCCCAGCTTCCTCCGCTTGTCTATTTATACTGAGCCGTTCACCAGGCGGCAGCTGATAATTTTAGATGCGTCGTCGCGTGAAGAGCCGTACCCTACGAGAGACGCGACTCGGCCTCACCCAGGTCATAGCCCCAATACGCCATGTGGGGGGGTGGGGGGTAGACTTACAGGGTAGACATCTGACAACTCACCTCCCCCCCCCCCCATCTACTTTCAGTAATCACAGGTATTTTTTCGGTCAGCTTGCAGAAGGTTCTAGAAGGTTCTGTGATGGAGCATGTGATCCAGTGAAAGGTCACATAAACAAGCGAAATCTGGGCGACTGGGGATTCAAGCGACAGCTGGTCCCCACCAATAAGAAAGTCGACGTTCTGTGCGGCGAAGTACAAATATACAAGCCTGCGGCCCTCCGACGTTTCGCTTCCTGCGTAGCGTCACCAAGCAGAGAGCGGGGACAGGCGACTGCGATGCGTCACACTTCGCTCTCCTCGGAAGTAGGCCAGCGGCAGAACTGCAAATTCAACTTTCACACCCCCGTCCCACAAAGTTTTAACCAACAAAATATTAAACAGAGGTATTTACACACTGGCTTCAAACGAGGTCAGACGGAGACAACATGCGCAATAGATACAAATATTTGGTTTTGGCACTTGGAAAGTGGCGACAGCACAGAAACGTCAGTCCGGTGACTGTGGGATTGCTTACCTCTTTTACTGGGATTACATGACAATATAAATAAAATAAGATCTTACATGTGCACATACTGTACCACCCCCCCGTCTGCCCTCGGCCCTTTAAGCTTTTGTGCACTTTTATATATATTTTTTTTTACCTAAAGCACACAGAGAATAAGCTTCACCATGAGTCACTGTTAGCTGGTCCTGCCGGTTTTAACTTCATTCACCAGCGTCATCAAAACTTTGTTTTTTTTCCCCCCTGTTCCAATTACTGTCCATAAGGCATAAATAAAGAGGCACCCTGTGGCCCCTGTATTGCTCTACATCTCTCTTCCAAAGTGCTTTGTGTTGTCGAGCATCCTGCCGACCGCTTTCCATGGTGATGAGTCAATTCTCCTCACCCCCCCAACACAGGGAGCCGTGTCTTTGGCCGGGTTCCCACTGCCTCGCTTTTCGGCGAACAAGTGCAACAAACCAGTGTCCCGGTCCACTGGTGGCATCTCCAACTAGGGATGGCGATAGAGTCAAAAAAACGTGCTTAATCGCAGACCGCGCGACCGGCCGCATTCGTATACAAACCTGCCCCTCATGTTTTCCTCTTTTTCGGGTCGTCAGTGCTATATTATTGCTTGACTGTGAAAGGTACTACGCCCTGTTAATATTGACACTGCATCTGTTAATAATCAGAATGCTAAAACAATTGCATGAAACTGATAGCCTGATGGATGGCAGTATAATGTAACAGGCCACCCCTTCATTTATTGTACATGTGTGAGATGATTCCTAAGGCTTTACAGATGACAGTACAGCGGTGTCGCGAAGCAGAACAGCGACCACCTTGGTTCGGAAACATAATAGCAGGTTTCTGTGCGTCTTATCAACTGTGCGCAGCAATTTTAAATCCGCCCATCTATTCTGAGAAACTGCAGGAATAAAGAAAGTAGTTATTTGCGTTTAATAACACAGTTTTCAAATAATTCACGCACATTAATTAACCAGGAGCAACAGCCGTTAAAGCCGTTATCTTTCTTGCGTTAATCGGTTACAGGAAAATCGGTTTGGGGTTGTACTGTGATACGCATGCAGACGCCCATACAAATTCTGTTACTATATATTCAGATAAAGCCACGTAAACATCTTTCCTTCTAAACTACAACTATAACAACTGATATATGATGTTGCGGAGGATCCTGTTTTATTTGCCGTTCTTAAACAGTGTATTTAAATAAAATGTACCGTATATCAATGCATGTTTATATACAAACTGTACATGTAACGCTCACGGTGTCATGGGAAAATTAATACGCACTCCCAATAAGAACTGCGTAACATCCCTTCGCCACCGCCAGGTTTTTACCGATTAATTTACACCCCGCCTCCCTCTGTGCAACATCGCAGTCCAGTGCAGTTTTTGAAAATACTCTGTCGGTTTTTATTGCTATATTGTAATTATTATTACTATTATCAATTGCAACAGATCCTGCGCTTTACTTTTGCCTGACCGAGCAGTTGTCCAGTTTGCCGGTACCTAAGCGCAGATAAAATACCGCACGTATCCGAGTGTTTGGCCGACGGTCTTCTCTCTGACGCAGTGCTCTTTATATAAGCCGTAAGACGGCAAGTCAGCAAGCGCCACCAAGAAGCCAGCAAGCTGGCGTCGCAGTCACACATCCCGCATGCATGAGATACTGGCAGAAACCCGAATAAGGCCAAATTACTACTTTATTAGTACCTTAAGTATGAGTGGATTAAACGCGTGTGACGTATGTGTGCACCTTTGGCGTCGTAGTGATAAACAGAATTTATACATTTCCCCCTACAAATAAAAACACTACTTACATGTATAAACAGGTTCACTGGAGACCACTGTGGATCAGGCGACGGCTTTTTAAGAACCTGGTCTATCACCCCAATTCTGACTCATCACACCGATTCCCACTATTCGCAGTCCCGAATAATAACTCTATTGCTTATCACCGATTACTATCCCCCCCGTCCCGAGTGCCTCTCTCCCTTCCCTAAACGATTTTTCCACAGCGCGTCACATCAGGTCACACCCCCATCGCCACGCCCCCGCATTGCGATTGGCGGACGCGCAGCGGGGACTCTTTCTCTGACGTCAGCGTCACATGTGACTGACGCGTGTTTACAAACATTGGACGGGATCACGTGGCGCTGAAAATCAGCTTACCGAAAATCGCCGGGTCGGCTGCACCTGGGAAAGAGAGAGACAAAAAAAAATAATCAAAGAAAATAAAATAAGAACAAATATCACGTTTCATTGAACGAAAGGTGTAAGCAAGACCCGAAATGCGAAGTAATAATCCTTTTTACATATGTTGTAAAAAATGTCGTATGAGGCATATATATATATGTTGTCGGATATAAATTGCGCAGACTTTTCTGCGTGGTCCTTGGAAAGCATCCGATGATGCGCTAAAATGAAACTCATGTCCTTCGTCGATTGGTTGAAATTTGCGTTAATATACACGACAGAACACGATCTTGATTTTTTTTAAAACAAGTCATAGAAATGTATAGCTTAACTGTGTCTGACAATGCTAATGATACCAAGTAATTGTTTTAGGTTTTTTGTTCCCCTGAGAATATAATGTTAACTTTTGGCGTGTTTTGGAGTTTATAATATCGTTAAGTCAGATTTTGATGGAATTTACCACCTTGTTTAATTTTTAAAGGGAACACTGCTCCATTTTGTTCTGCATGTGAGAACCTGTCAACGCGATGCGGAGTAGGAAGTCTTTGGCAATCGGAAAATGCTTTTAACCGTATCAAAAATGAAACATAAAATTAATGTATTTAGGCTATTAATAGACTGATTGCTGAATAAAACCGGAAAGGTTAGTCACAACTAAAATTTGAAACGTGTTGAATGAGAAATGGCAATGAATAGATTTTTTAAGCACTTGTATTTTATAATGCTGGATTTTGATGCTGGTCTGTTTTTACCGTTTTACCTTCTTCAACTTTTTGAAATATTACCTTGAAGCTAAACTTACCTGATTTATCAGTATAGTTTGTCTGTGGGTGTATGTGAGAGAAAGAACAACGTTGCCTGCTAAATGCCAAATAAGCAGCTTGCTAAAAACGCTAGATGACTTAATTCTAGCTAGTGAAATTAAGCGTGTTTGATGCAAAACGTTTAAAATGCACACAACGCAGAACAAGTAAACACAACGGGAACTACGACACCTACGCAAAGCAAATGAGCTGTCTAAGCACAACAAACCAATATATTTTAAAACCCATAATACAAAACACAGCAGAATGCAGGTCATACATGTAGGCTCATACTGTGCTTTTGCACATAATTCAGGTCCAACACTAAAAAGATCACTGACGGCGACTGACCCCTCCTTAGCGCATGAACCTCCCGTAGGTTGGGTATGTGGGAGAGACAGTATGTGTAGCAGGACAATGAGCGTCGTTGATCTCCTGAAATCCAATGAGAAAACGGAAAGAACTGCTGAAGATCGGATATTAATCAATAATATGCAGATGACAATTGAAAGAACTAAGGACAGACACAATAACTCTTTTTGGAACAGTTTGATTCAGTTCATCTATAAGATTTGTTCTGATTCGTTCACCAGCTTGTTCAGTCACACTTCCAGTTTGCATAAAATAGTTTTGAAACACTTGTGTTCCCATATGTCAAAATATTGCCTATTATTTAGGCTAAATGGTGCTAAGAAGTAACCTAAATACTACCAATATGTCATGTGAGAAAAATAACATTTATTGAAGTCTTGGCAACATTGTACCATATATAGCGACTCAGGTTTCCAAACGCTAACGAAGCTTGGTTAAAATTGTTTTGAAAATGCTGCATCTCTAAAATCCAAATGCAGCATCCAGAAGTACATGTAGGCTATTAAACTACACCAGTAGATGGTGTATTTCAGTCACGACCGACGTGCGTGTCTCTCATTCACTCAAAACCAGAATGAGAGACCCGAAGGAGTGGACCGATTAGGTGAGTGAGTGGTAAACGAGGGACTCTTTTTTATCCACTCGCTCACTAACTCGTTCAGAACGAGGGACCCTAAGACAGGGATGTGACACTGCAGTCCTTGAGGGCCAGAGCCCTGTGTAGCTTAGTTCTTTCCTTGTTCCTGCAAAAATGATTCAGCTCAAAAGCTATGTGGTAATTAACACAAGGAGTTGCATCAGCTGTTAAATGAGGGGAAACCCAAAAATATGCAGGGCTCCAGCCCTCCAGGACTGGGGTTTGACACCCCTGTGCTAAGGAGTGACCGAGCTGCTGAATGAGTGGGTGAATGCTTGTTCGTATCCATTCAGTCTCAGGTTTAGTTTCCAGCCAATCATATACTTGCTTACAGCATGCCCTTACATGCCTCACTGGCTCTCACTGGCCAAAGTCTAGGAGGGAAGCAGCATTCACGTCGTATTTCTGAGGACAAGCAAAAGGAAATGAAGGAAAAGAACGGATCTTTGGAGGGAAGTGAACTTGAGCTACACAATTAGGAAAAGCAAATTATTTGTGTCGGATATCCAGCTCCCCCTAGTCATTATTACAGTTGGATAGAACTGTAAAATTTGCAGGAGGAATTATAAGCTTAGCGTGAGATTGAACCCAAATTCTCACCGTCAATGCCAGAGAGCTGGTCCTGAAATTAGGCCCAAAAGTGTTCTAGCGCAATGCTTTTGAAGAGGATGTTACAAAATTACCTCAGTTACCTTTGTTAGGTAATTGCCAGTGTGGGTAAATACTACTGTCTGGATGCAAAAAAGTAAATCAACCTTAAGGACAACCTTAGCTTAAAAGGGCAGAGTATTAGCATTTCAAACGATATAAATTATTTATCGCATCTTTGAAATTCAATTTCAAATCTTTCCTTACCAGGCATCTTTGAAAACAATTAAATAAGTGCAGGTTACAGCAGTAAAAACATTTTAATAATCAAAACAAAAATGTTTATAAAAAAGCTTTTACGAAGCCCTAACGCAAAAAAACAACGTAAGCATGTAAATAAGTTTGAACTTTTATTTATCCATATGTCCAACTTACGTAGAATTTGACTTTTGTAAAAGTGGAACAAGTTGAGACCTGCCTGCACTGTATTTATGTTACGTTATCATCCTTATGTAGTTTGTTTTTGTATTTTCCTGCTGTAACTCATGTAATTTCAGAATTAATGAAATTGTCGATCTGAGCTTGGATTCCACTGTAATGCAATACCTCCCTATCTGCAGCAGAGGGTGCTGTTACCCAAGACTATTAACAAAAATGAGAAAATATTTGTAATGGAATTTCTAATGGGATAATATACGATTCTAACCCTAAGGCTATGCTCGTTAACGGCTAACCCGGAGCTTTACAACGTTACAATGTTTCTGACATTTTATTAGATTCTTTGTAACAGACAAGGTATCTGCATTGCATACATTTCTTTTGTCTGAGACACTTTCATGCAAATCAATATGACTAGCTTACAGAAAAGTGTATAGCTCTGAATGTTTTCACCAGAAGAATTCATTTTTTTTCTAGGTTAACCTTCTTCACTTGCACACTCTCCAAACATCTGAAATATTCTCTTTTGGCAACAAAGTTTTAGGAATGTTGTATGTTTTGCAAGTGTTTTTTTTATTTGATCATGTCTGTGATTTATGCACTCCTAAAGCCGCGTAGATTGCTAAGGGGTGACACAAGAGAGACCAGTGTCTTTTCAAATATGAAAAGACAAACTGAGTTTGTATGTGTTCTCCATTGTTGGAACAGACCCAATTTGTCTCCCTGACCCATAACAACATTTCCTTGATAAATAAAGAGTACAGTATTTCAGTGCGGGATTTTCTGCTTTTCAGAAGCGTAGACAAAAAAAATAATGATGATAATAATTGAACTACTCCTTCAACTCTTACGTTTCCTGAGACTGGACTTGGAGGGTTTCTCCTGCGGGCCAAATTTGATCCCATGCGCTGCCTATTTGGGGAAAACTGCTTTGGGGTTTGAAGTAGCAGGACAATATGATACTCTAGCCTTAGATTAAAGAATGTGAGGCTACTGTCTTGAAATTGGACGAAAGAAGCAGAAAAAGTGCCACATCACTAGATAGACAAATGAACTAGTTTTCATTTGGTCCTCCGCCCTGGAAATGGTCAGGTTAGGCTTAGGGTTAGGCTTAGGGTTACTGCTCTACTTCACCTGTCTTAGCGGAATGAATATTGACCCGTTTTATTGTCTAGGTCCTGTGTTCATTAGAGCTTAATTACGCCCCTGCTTCAAGCTTACAGATTTCTGCAAAGAAACCCCATCAGCTAGCATTTGGCTGTTCCAGTTGATTACCACCAAAAGTAAGAGTCAGCCTTGTTCAACATATACTTATAAAACCTGACCACTGCAATGGGACCATTATGAGGTCTAGCCTTACTTGTTATTGTAATAGATTATTCTGAAATGGAGAGAGCCTGTGTATCACATAACTGAAAAAGTACAGTATCGAAAAAAGTAAAAATGAAGAGCTGGGACCCACTAAACGTTTTGCAATATTTTCATTTTTTTAATTTCATATGAGAAACAATAAATTGAGATTACGTTCTGAAACACAAGAGTAGTTAAATAAAATTGTTGCACTTTCACATAAAAAAGGGTGGAAATCAGGATATTGGTCCAAAAAATAGGCCAATAGATAGACTTTAGCAATACTTGTAAATGATAAAATATTTGCAAATGGTTCTGAGGAAGGTTTGCATCCCATGCAGGATGTACCTCAGCCTAGTGCTCTCCGCTGCATGCGATGGGCTGCAAACCTCACTTGCGACGCTGACAAACAGAAGATGGATCAGGAATGGGTGGATGGATTTGAGGACTTTGAAAGGGTAAAGTAACAAAGAAACATGACAGAAAATTCTGACCGTATATTTTCACTGCTGTCAGTGTGAGACTGTTTCGAAAATGAGTCTAAAGCTTGAGATTGAATAAGAATAAGAAGTCAGAAATAACAAAACATTTAACTAAAATGTAACCCCTGGAGGCATTAGAGGAACTGTAAGACTGACCCCC